GTTTAAATAATTTAGTTTGTTTAGTATGGTTTGCCTTTTTAGCAAGGTTGTTTTCTACAGGATGGTGTTGCCGACCACATTCCCTAACCCTCCTTTGTGTGAACATGGGACCGGTAGTGCCTCTAGAAGAGCTACGGGCTCAATTAAAAATGATGAAGGATCCACGAATTCTCCAGGAAGTAGGAGTGTCGTTCCATAAACTAGATGTGCTACAATGTATCCAATGTCACTGCATTGCAAATACCAAGTAATATGAGTGGAAGAGTGTCGGTCCACTGTGAAAGTTTTGCAGCTGATAGGGAAGCTTCTCGATGTCGGTAAAAGCGTTCTACCAACCCGTTTGATTATGTGTTGTAGGCGGTCGTTCGGAAAATCATGTGATTACGAATCCTGTAGTCAGACAACGGAAAAGTTCAGATTCGAGCTGACGTACACGGTCTGTAGTAATAATTGAAGTTTGCTACCCACCGTTCGACGAAGGCGCGGACCACTGCTTCAGCAGTAATGTTCTTGATGGGTACTGATTCTGGCCACCGCGTGAAACAGTCTACACAATTTAAGAGATAAGAGTATACATTTGAATCTGGTAATGATCCTATCAAATGCAGATGAGCATGGTCGAAACCGCAATCCGGAATTTGGAATGAACCTTGGAGACGTTCGTTGTGTCGAATCACCTTTGATTTTTGGCAGCTTACACAGGAGAGTGTCCACCACCTTATATATTTATTCATTCTAGGTTAGCGAAACCATTTTGCAATGAGCTTGATAATTGCACAAACAACTGGATGAGAAAGTTTGTACAACGTATAAAAGACGCTGTGTCGATAGTGTTTGGCACTATTTGACGATCCGTAACCGTATATGTGTCACATGGTAAGTTTCCTTGCCTATTTTTATCCATTTTTTATACGTAATCTCAAAGTTGTAGAAGATAACTCGTGTTGAAGATCAGTGTCTCCCTTCTGAAGCTGGACGAGTTTAATAACGCTGATACATTGAAAACTGTTTGAGAAAGTTATACGAGAAATATGTTGTGTATCTGAAGTAGACCTTGAAATTTAGTCCAGTTGTCGAGACACTCGAGGGGGGTATTTGTCTGAAGATGAGCTTAAAGAGATGGTAAGGGTGAAAAAAATGAGTCCTCAGCCTTTCACGGAGTACCGAACAGCACGAAATATAGCTTGGAGTTCCCTACCAAAAGTGCCGTACCTGGATTCGGCGTCTCTCGACCGTCTCGAGAAGATTACTAGGTGTCATGTGTTGAGTCGGCTTTCGGAGAATTTCAACGGAGCCTCCAAAGGCCCAGAAGGAACCGAAGAGTCCTGGCTAATCAGAGCATGATCGAGCATTCTAGAATTCCAACGTGGCGTGCTCTAATTGGTCAGTAGCATAATGTGCCGTTAACGGATTGGCCGAAATATGATGTAGGTTTAACAAACATTAACACCTATAAATACCCATCTTTTCTGCACAAAAATGAACCTTGGAGTAAAGTGTCTCCCTCATACTTTGCGTCTCCTTTCTGGTGTTCAGGTCGCTGTGCATTAATAGCTTGCGGATTTCCAGAATAGCTTAGGAAAGAATAAAGCGTCCAATCGACAAGACTTCTCCGATTGCCATGAAGGGTGTGTTTACTGGGATACTAATGGTTGCTTCGGTGTCCTGTTGTGAGAGTAAAGTTGTTACGGTGATTAGTTCCTTAACTACGGAAAATTCAAGATCGTCCAGATTGACGAATTCCTCATTTCCACGTAGTTGATCTGTTAAAGGTTTCACGGAAGACGCTCATTTCGGCAGATTGTGTGGTCGGCGTCAAATGTCTAAGACTTACGGAGCACTTGATTTTAAGGATTCATTTACCCCTACATTGGTACTGGACAGTAGGTGTAATAATGTTCTGTTTCAGTTATCGACTTGTTATTTCCTTTATCTTTGTACTCGGTATCCGAGAGCAAATGAATTAGGTAGGGACTAAAATAAGGATGTCCTCAAGCATGTTTTCAAGTAACCGCCCCACCTATCTATACCTTAGGAGAGATATTGCGTACTCGTGATATATTCCAAGAAGGGTAACTGATAATGTATTGAAATCAAATTGTAAACCATACTCATCTATCATGGATGCTCTTAACGTACAGACAAGCACTATAGGAGGATCAAGAGAGATGTGGCGAGGATGTGTCGCAACTCGTATGGCCCTTTCCACCCGGAGAGACCAGTGATATATTTCAGCAACAATTTAATTTTATGAAAGCATTAACTACATTAGAACAAGAAAAAAACTGTCAATAAAATTTGAACAAAATTCCTATAGAACTCATCACCACAAGCTTTATTGACTAGGTCCTCCTTTACATCTTTCAAAAAAACTGGACAGCTACTTTAGTTCTGTAGATACCGAGGGGGATTACTTTGAGCGCAACACACCGACCACTTTCATCATTAACTAGATTATTTAATCCACTACTTTCTAGAGGAGGTGAAACCAGAATGATGGTCCTGAGTAACGAACAGCATACTCCAGCTTCATTGACGTAGATCCCAAGGAGCAAATAGTTCACCACCTATGCTGAATAAAGTTTAGATTGAAACCTATTTTTCAGTTAATTTTCTTTCAAGCTCCTGAAATATGAATAAACGTATGATATTTTTCCTATCTAATACAAAGATTTCTGACTTAAAAAACACTTCATTTTATCTCCTACGTATGAAGCCAAAAGAAAACTCAACAAACGCTCAGTACTAGGACCTGTTCTCTTGATTTATATAAATGATCTTCCACAGAAGGTATCGTCAGACGTATTGCTTTTTGCTGATGACGTGAAACTTTGGAAAGAGATACGCAATCAAAAAAACATTCTGTCACTTCAAGAGGATCTGACTCGACTTCAAAGTTGGGTGGACAACAACGGACTCACCTTTACCATTTCAAAAGTGTAAAGTAGTCCATCTGCGACGTGTTGCAGACTTCAGTTACAACTTAAGAAACTTCTCTATGGTAGTATCCCAAGTCTTAAAAGACTTAGGAGCGCTGTTCCCTACGATTCGGAGTCTTACGCTGTGACAAAAATGCCTTCGAGTAAACCTTGCACTGGTAACATTGAAGCGCGTTTTTGGCCAGTTTGACGGATAAACTTTCCACGTAATCTTCAACAGTTTTATTCGTCCCCACTTAGAGTACGGAAACATAGAACTTCCTTCCTCACATCAAAAGGATAAGGATACTCCGGGGCGTGTCCAGAAGCGAGTCACGAAATCAGTTCGGGGACTCAAATTCTAACCTTATGAAGAGCGTCTCCAATCACTTAACCTTTACCCACTAGAGTATAGGCGTCTAAGATGTGACCTTCTAATGGCTTACAGTATGCTAACACTTCTGTACATCCACTCAATCACCTAATTAGGCTTAATCCCAATACAAACCTATGGGATAACACCCAGAAATTGGAGGTACAACATAGCAGGACGGACTGTGGACACAACTTCTACTCCTTAAGAGTTGTCAAATGCTGGAGTTCGCTGCCGACTGAGCTAGTTCGAACGACTTCCAAGGAGTCCTTTAAGAAGCAACTTGACCTATTCAAATGGTTTAAATGGTCATGGAAGGAATAGAAGAAGCTTTCGCTTAACAGGCTTCCGTGTCTAGTAGCGAGGGAACACCAACACTTCCAGGCAGGAACCTAGGTATATTAACGATAGTAGAGGGGAAAAAGAAACTGATAACTCATAATAAGACGTTGTTCTGAGTCCTTAAGAATAGGTCAAGTTTCCTCCTGAAGGACTCCTGAGATATTGTAAGCCATCAGAAGGTCACCTTAAGGACTGAGGATAATATCCTACTATAATTTACAAATTTATTTTTTCCCTCTATTATCGTCATTATACCTAGGTTCCTGCCTGGAGGTACTGGCGATCCAATGCTACTAGACACGGAAGCCCGTTAAGCGAAACTTCTTCTTTTCCATCCACAAACATTTGAATCCCTTGGCGGGAAAAACAAGTTCAAGGTTTGCTGATTCCCTCCTTTGCCTTTTTAACCTTTGTCAGTTTCTCAAAATAACGACAAAGAGCTTGGTTCTCTATGGTATTATTATACTTTTACTACTAAAACCATCAGGATTATGTTAATAACGACAATAAACTCCATACTCTCCCCACATATGTTCAGATTGTCTGCAAGTAAGACGTAATTACAGAAGCTGGTGTATATACAATAAGTTTATCAAAAGTGCCTCATTGCATCACAAGTAATAAAGAAGCCTCCAAACTGCATTGCAATCTTATTGTGATTCATAAGCAACGTACGCTGCTTATAAATTGAACGTACATCCCATTGGACGGTACTCTTTAAAGAATTCAGAAATGCAATGGAAATCAGCCTTCTCAATGCGATTGTATTTCTGTGTGGTTAATGATACGTTGCCTTATTACATGATACTTTCAGTAATGCATTACTAGCAAAAATGTTTGTCAGATGGTAGTATTTATCTACAGTAAAGGTCAAGAAAGCTTGCATAGAAATCCCCATTGAGTAGGGATTTTTCCTAAATTTTCCACGCACATGGAGAAAATCCTGTAATTCATCACTGTTTCCTAAGTAAATGCTTCTGGAGTTTTCATGTAGCTAATAATTGCACTTTGATATGTCGTTATAAACCAGAATAGTATTATTCTGTTCGGAACATTTCCACATCACGAATGCGTATGCACATCTTTCCGACTAATGTCTAAATTTATGGTTTCTAACTAATAAAAAAGTCTTTGGATTCGTGTCATCTTGTTTCACCAGTTGGTTTTAAGTCTGTTCTAGACTTGTATGTATGATGAAGTTTTTGTATGCTTGTATTAATGCTTTTATTTGTGTCTCCGTATGCTTTGTAAGTTGCTAGCTTTGTTTTTTTTTCTGTTATTTTTCAGCCTTATATCAGCTTGTTAGACCTACAGCACCAGCCATACACACCCTGATCTCTGATTTAACCGTCCCTAGCGGTTTTGTAATTGACAGAAAAGCAGTGTTAGTGTCATGATTTTGTATCACGTCTTCTTGCTGATCTTTCTTACGTTTGCTAGAGGAGACACTATGACTGATTTCGTCTCACCATCTAAATGTGAAGGTTGGACACTGATTTGGTCTAAAGTGTAGTTTGCAAGTTTCTTGTAACAGAAATTCTGTCTCGTCTTCAAGAAACCAAATCAAGTGATACTCTGAATGTGAGATCTGTCCAAGGGGATTCAAAGAAGGTTAAATATGAAACATCGTTGGTCTTTACTTTGCTTTACTTTATCACTTATTAGAGAACTCAGACTTTATGAAGTTCTGGAAGATCCTCCTATTTGCAACAGGTTACTTCAGTACAAAGTTCATAAAGAGCGTCAAGACAGTAGCAGATTTGACAAAGGTACACCTCAGACAATGAAGTCCCTTACGGAACTGGTGTATGTCGCTTTTAATGTTTCTCTAATTTTGGCAGGAACCGTGGCGTTGATGTGAAGCTGGATGTCCCTTTTGAGCTGTGGGATAAACCGCCTGCAGAAGTCACAGCCTTATTCAAGGAGGTATGCCTACTGAGTAGTACTTAATTTAGAAGTGTATCCCACTTGTTAATGAATACCAAGACATTATAGAAGAATGGTTTTACAACAATCAAGATGTAAATCTTTATGATTACCTTTGTCGTGAAAATGTTCTAGACAAATCTTCTCAAGGTTAGCACTTTCTTAAACGTGATTTTTCGGTTTATTCGTGATGATTAGTCTCAAAGTGTTTCTTATATGTGACATTTATAACCTTCTGATCGAGTTCCGAGTGCATTTTTACTTTATATTTCAAGTAAACTGATAAATTCCCCAATCAGTGAGATATAACTTAGTTTCGTTTATTGTCAGCGAGTTCTATATCAAATGCACGAAAATCACTAGATTATTAATTACATATTTTATGTGAAAGAAAGTGATATTATGTTGTTGCCAAAATCATGATGACCAAGGAAATGTTCGAAATTTGAGTGAGTATATAAACTACCATGTATTACAAACCTTTTAAAAATTTAGAAACCACTAAACTTCACTTATGTAGATTTCCACAAAATTTTGGGATTGAAAGTTGTCTATTTTTACAAAATAAAAGTCATCTGTTTGTTTCAGTACATCATGAAACGTTTATGTATAATGTTAAGCAAAGTTTTTTTACAATTATTAAGTTGAAGTTATTTACTTCATAAATTCGTGCTAGCCTTACTGATTGCTATAAACCCACGATGGAAAACTTGCCTTTAAGTACATAAATCCATATTTTTCGTCTAGTTAGCTTGCGTTTCACATACTGCTCACTCCTTGTAGTTGTCAATCATAACCACTAAAGTCTTTAAGTAACAATAACTTATCATTTCCTTTAAGCCACAATACAACATTGTCCTTTAACAAAATAATACGACAGACTCGATTAAAATCATAACTGTTTTTCTTAAAGTCATATTTTCAAATGGGTGAAGTTGTTGACTCGTTATATATGAATATATTTCAGACGAAAAGCTGAGATTTCATTTTAAACATGTTTGCAATATGATATTTCAGATTAACTTTCGAAACAATTACTAAGTCAAGCAATCATGGGGAAAAACGCTATCACGCGTTATCTACATATTAGGAAATGTTAACCTTATTGTTTTGATAAAATTGAAAAGGAGCCATATACAATAGTTCAGGTTATCACACTAAATAACCATTAAAATTAATATCAAACTAACTAGAAAAGGCAAATGTGAGTTAAACCTGATTGTATGAATCACTAGTCCACTCAATAGTAAGAACAATCCGATACTGAAGATTTGAAGCTTTGTTCTACATTAATCATGGCTCAATGTACAATGAGAGTCCAGGACGTAACTGTTTTATGTACTAATGAATAGAATTTCATTAGAAGTATATATTTCTCAAATCAATAAATGGTAAATATATCGTGAACATTCGTTCATTGGTTTTTCAATGCTTCGTGGGAACTACATACCCAATCATCTCGTTAATAAACAATACAAAACCACAAATCAACCCTAAACTTCATTGTACTTCCTAACAACAATCGTAATTAAGTCATTTACAGTTCATGAATGGAACTGATTTGTTTGCAAGTTGATCTACGTAACTCCTATCTAATGGAACAAATAGTCACGAGTTTATTAACTCCCAGGGGATTGTAGGTCACAGTTCTGTTAGTTTCTTCGCAAAGATAACATCCTGTTAGTAAAAAAATGCCAATCAATGGTTCCAATGAGAATAACATCTTTGGAGATTTCTAAATTATGTGTTTAGTGTGTTTTTAACCATGTTAGTGATAACTTTAAATATAATGAAAATTTTGTGGCTGAAGTTCACCATAAGTTAAAGTGCTTCACACCAATGTATTAAGCTTTCAACGTGAAATTAAATCGACAATACGAAGTCAGTGAGAAAAAGACCAGTAATAATGAACTTAGAGCCAAAGTTCAAAGGTAGTACGGGGGACCAGTTGGCTTTGTTTATTAATTTGTTTTCATCACTTTCTTAAATCAGTTCCACTATCTCAAGTTTTGACGTGTACACTTAACCGATCTGCCAGTCGTAGTTTTGCTCATGTGATTTATTCTTTTCATAAAATAACGAATTGGCATATTTTATTTTTCAGGATGCTTGGATGAAAAATCTCCAAATCAACCAAAACATTCTCCAGGTTTGAACTAAGATTTTCTCCTTGCATTTTCAAAATACTGTTAATATCACAAAACCTTTTATACGTGTCCAGCATTGTCCCCTAAACGTTTCTAGAATGCACAAATGTTTGTGACACCATAAGTAGTAGTCAAGGATCAATTTTGTAGACTCGTAACCACCATAATTTTTAATGTGCTTTCAATATCATACAAATTTTTAAACTTGTATTCACATAGATACCCGGTGTGGTTTTGAAGGTTATCTATCAGTGAAGTAAACTCCTAAGTGTAATAATTTACGTGATACAGGATTATTACAAGTTTCTTAAACGTTTAGCATAAAGAAGTCAATATTCCCTTTAACTAAGAAAATAATCAGTTGAAATTAATCCTAAAAATATTATTTTTCGTACGTTTGTTCTCACTATCCATTGACCAGATGGTCAATTTTATAGTCTCTTCCGATTCCAAAGTGTAGATAAGTAATCAAATATTTGCAAACAATGCATAATAACCCAAGACTTTGAAAATTATACTTCATTGTTAATTTTCATCTTTATTGTATTGACCTATAAAGCCTAATCCATGTATCGCCCAACAATCATCTTTATATTTGAATAATTTGCTTATGTTGTACTGAATTAGTAATTTTTTTCCTCACTCATCCTGCTCTAGATTATTACATTGCAACATACAAATACATATCGATCGATGTTTATTCATACACTCTTTGTCCTGTTATAATGATTTTAGTTACTTGTCGAACGTCTATCTAAACTTCGCAAACTAAAGCATGTCAAACATTTTTTAATAATTGTATTAATATTTGTAACTTAAGGTTGTATGCAGCTGATGAAAAACTGTGAATGAATTCACTTTTCCGCAAAAGTTGTAGTTGCTGCTCTGTTTATTAAATTAATTTTGCATTCATAGTTGTAAGGCTTTAAACCAGGTTGCTTGTCCGTAATTGTAATAATCGATTCTTGGAATAATAAGTCTAATCCACTAACCTTTTGGAAGTTTCAGGTGTCTTAGTCATTGAAACAACTCTGTACATTCATAGGTAGTCGTTTGTTAATTGATTCCTACAAGTTTGGTGTCCTTTTTGGGATTGATACTTAAAAGTAATTAATATTATTTCTTGCTTATTTTATTTTAGAATCACACCAGTCGGATGAGTTATAGTTTATATACAACACATTGGCGTCTCTCTTGACCAGTTATTATTGGTTCTACATTTAGATTGATAGGGTTTTTGCACGTGTAACTGCATTTCAAGTGAACCTTTTCTACCGACCAATAATTGTATCGTATATTCCTTTTTTAACTAAATGTTGGACATTTCTAATCAGTTTGTTATTACGTTTACCTCACTTTCATTTGATTGGAATGATGTTTTGGTCAAAATCTGAGTTATTATGTATTTAAAATCCTTTCGGATTTTACATTTGTCTGAAGATATTATTTAAATAATTTATTCGGATATAGCCCCTAACATGTTAGTTTGAGATATTCATAAATAAACAAAGATCATCAACATAGAACCTGGCACAATAATGCGTTCCCCCCAAGTTGCCATGCTATATTAGTACGATGAGATGAAAATAAAGGAGATCAACATAATTTACCAGCAATAATAAAAAATGACCACAATTTATAAATATGGTTAGAAAAGTATGTATGAAGCGATAATGGGATTAATGATCGAATGGAAGATAGAGTAAATGTATCTGCAAAATTGTGACCGGTTGTAGGACATCCAACCAATGATCACAGTTGTCATGCGGACTTTAATCAGGTATTCGGTATATACCACTATGGCTCAGACTAGTAATCAATGACTTCATGGATTGGTATCACGTTTTGGTTTGACTGCTTCTAGTCTTCCAACATACCGCACTAGTAAGCATCATCCATCAAGATAAGTAGAGGTTAGACTTATATAACATATGACCCAACCACTTTAGTGAGTGGACCACGCCAACCGATTTGTCACTTTCCCCACATACTCTAAGCTTAACGTCGATATTACTCACTCCATCATTCAATGAAACGTGAGTACTCCTTTGAAAGACTCGTTCAATCAAAACTCTACAGCCTGAGCATGTTTTCTATATTAATAGACACGGCTATAAAGTGGATCTGGACGGATAGCTGCACAAGATACACGCTCTTTGGTCACCAGACAGACATCTCATCCACAACACGGCGCAAATTAAGAAACCCCAGCCGCACTTTTTAAATCCGTGCCGAGATTTTATTGCACATCAATCCACCAGAATTGATGAAACTTCTATTATAAGTAAATTAATCGATACACTCAACTACTTCACTGCCTATCACTAATTGAGTCCTTGACCCACACCAGTCCTGAAGTAACATTTTACATTTAAGAGAGAGAAACCCATCACGAACATGCTAGCCGCTGCTGAAAGCGATCAGAAGACTGGATGTTGTCAGCGTTTTCAACTAGAACTGTCATATGCGTACTCTAAGTTGATAAATGGACATCGTATGAGGAAATAGACTCCTAAAAAGTTAGGTGGAGGAAGTTTTATTTTGAAGAAGACGTCTGTAATTGAGTCAAATAAATTTACTAAGAGACGTTTAAGAATAGAATGTACTTTACTTGTGCATACCCAGGTTTTTCAATAATCGATGCATAAATTTCCGTGAGTCAATGATTTCTTGCTATAAGAAATCTCATTACTTTTCAAAAAAACTATTAACCCCCCCTCCGCCGTTGTACTAACAAGGATGGGGGATCTCACTCTCCACAGTTGAAATCACGGGTCAATTTGAGCGAGATCACCACTAAAAACCTGGAAGTACCGAACGTCGGTTTCGTCCCAGTATGAAACTCATCAGCAGTGCTCACCCACGGTCCCTCGCGCTTAATTCGAACCTAAAACTTTTGTTTTGGTGTGCGATCGCTAAGCTGGCATCCAACGATGTTAATTTCTAACCAGTCAATCCATAATCTTGTATAACCATTCATCAGCTGCCTGAGATGAATAACTGTCTCACACCCGACATGGATTGGACTCCACTAGTCATGGCTTCTTCCTAGAACTCCTGGAGTTACACCTTGAATCCAGTCACTAGTTATTTCACTCTCCCTCTCGAGATGCAGCCATACGTCTACGGTCTAGGATCGTGATTGCATTAATAAACGTTCATCGACTATTATGAAACCATATTTGACGTTTCCTCATTAATTAGTGGATTAAACCCCTGGATCTAAAGCTCAGGAAATATCCTCTCAAGGAAAATACGTGCTTCGTTTTAGACGTCCGCGCAATATCCCAGCTCACAAAAATGATGCTAACCATCGAAGAGATTGTTTCCGCTTCGTTTTCACCGTATTCGCTTCCATCTGGTTACATGTAGATTTTGTTTTACACTACATCATTCTTTTATTATTGTGTGTACTTTTACCCTTCAACTCAGCATTTCGTCTATATTAAAAACGTCTATTTAAGTTATCTGAAGTTGCTGAATAGTCGATTTTATGAACGCCCCACAGAATACGAAATCTAATATGGCTTGTTTGAACTGGCCTCTAACATTCGCACACTGATTCAGATTAGATAGCCAAGAAGTCTAACTATATCTTCGAAAAGTATTAATACGGATGTACGCTGTATTTATGCGATTTCCATTCAAAACTACAGATGAACTGCAATTTAGTTCTCCGTTTGTACAAATAAGTTAAATATTATTTTTGCAATGATAGATCTGATTTGTCAGCAATAGTGTTTAGTCAGTTAGTTAGCTACAACGTAGGATCAGGCATATATATGCATCGGTCCAAGTTGCCATACCTCATTAACACAACAGGATAAATACCGGATTCATAAAAGTAATTAATTCAGAGGTGGTATTATATAAAAGAAAGATTGCAATAAGGATATAGTACAGAGAGAGAGAATTAGTTAGTAGAAAGAAAGGCATAAAGTAATTTCAGTCTCTCGGTTTAAGGGAAGACAGAGAGTGTATACACCTACGCCATTATGATCGATTCTGAGCCATGTCACCAGGAGTCTCCAACCATTGGTTACGATAGTCACGCGGAACCCAACCAAGTAGTCTGCATCTACCAATATGGCTCAGACTACAAGCTAGTGAATTTAGGGACTAATGCCACGTTTTGGTTTGGCCGCCCTCTTAACTTTCTTCCAACCATCTCCAACACCGGTTAGCATTGCACGTCGTGGTAATCGGTATTCGGGCATATGTAACACGTGGCTCAACCATCTCAGTCGATGAAGATTCACAACTTCAACTGATTTACCATCAATCCCTAATACCCTGCGTCCAACTTCACTATTACTTACCCGGTGATCCCAGTAGATGCGAGCAATATTTCCAAGGCATCTGTGATCAAATACTAGTAGCTTACGACTATCTTCCACTCTTAATGGCCATGTTTCGCTGCTGTAAATTAAAACAGAACGAACTAATGCACAGTATACTCATCATTTTATTGATAAACGGATATCTCGCCTTCACCATAGATGACGTAATTTGGCAAAATCCAAACGAGCTTTTGGAATCCGAGCTGATATTTCGTCCGATACCAACCCATTAGGACTGATCAGACTTCCAAGATAAGTGAAGTTGTCAACGCGTTCGACTACTTCACTCCCTATCGTTAGTTCAGGTGTTGACGCAGACCAGTCCTGAAGCAGCAACTTGAATTTAGAGGGAGAGAAGCGCATTACAAACATTTTGGCATTGTTGCTTTATGCTACCAAAAGACTATTTTATCAGCATCCTCATCAAACAGTAAGTAGCAGTTTAACTGACTTTTAAGGACTAGTTCTTCAAACTTCAATGGTATTTTGAAAATCATTCTTCAAGAAAGTAGTGAAGATCCATAACTTAATATCAGTTTAGTCTTTTGACTAAATAAGCGCGTTAGGCCTACCTTTCATATAAAAAGTGATGTATTGGTTTCCTATATACATGGAAGGGATTATCTCGTCGTGAGAGAGATGCATGGGTCTTGGACTGGTTATTGTATTTCTGAATAATACGAAAGCGACATAGGATTTGTATCCATCGATGCGTACTGGTCCAAATGAGCAAATCTGGTGTTGGCATGACTAGCAAAAAATAACGATGTGTGTGTTCCCCACCAGTAATGAAACACTCGGAGAAATTAATGGAATCGAGATGAGTGGTTTACACAATGTGATGATTAGGATGAAACGTAGTCACATCCGTACCAGGAGCGTCTACCTGTACGGTTAACCTGGGATAGGATTTTTTATCCAATTTATCACAATGTGTAATGAATTCATTATCTGATACCATGGGTTTAGCTGACCGGTCTAAGCCTGTTCTTATATCAATCAACAAGACATCTGGGTGTGGCTTATTACAGATAGCACACTAACTGCCCTAAATGATACATTTTCTGAACTTTATGTTTTCAAAACGTGAATGAAGATGGTTGCAGCATATAAGTCTTCAACTTTTGCGGGGAATTCCTCAGCAACAAGACTCTCTGATCAGTCATTTCAAGAACTAAAACTTGCCGACTTTCAGAAAATCGCATCAATTACTGCCTCACGACACCTGTTTTAGGCTTCAGTTTGATAGCCTATTTCTATGCTGGTAGTTTGTGTAAGAATCTTCTGATCTGATAGCTATTAATAGTGTTAGGTATTAATTTTTTGTTTGGGCGCAGTAATTTTGCATGTCATATTTACTATATTTAGGGATTTAGCCATCTCCGGTGAGCCACTGACAGATTGGGCATCCTAAGTCCATGTGTAGCTACACCGAGAAATATAATTCTTGGATAACGCTCACCATCTATGAATAACGATAAGATTTGTGCTTGATAACTGTCAATTATATGAACATGTCTTTTTGATTATTTTAAAATAACGACCCATCATTTTAATCTCTCGCTGTGGTTTCTCGGCACTAATTTGCATTGGCCTAGACTGCCATACTATATCAGCAAGACGAGGTGAAATCAACATAATGGATAACAAAGGAGTCGAAATAATTTTAGTACTTATGACGAAGAAAAAGACCAAACATTGATTTGATATGGCATTTGAGTTTGCATGTAAACTCCCGCGCTCATAATTGAAGCCGATAGGAATGTTTCTAACTATCTTTTAATTAAGTGACAGCTCCCCAAACCAACGGACGTTTTTTAAACCTTTAGTTTAAGTTGCTAACATATTTTACTGCTGTTTGGAGATCGTGCCACCCTACCTCGGCATGCACTTTCGCTGCGTGGGCAACTATGTGCTTGGTCTTTGTGGTTAAGATGAGATGTCTGGACCGTTTGGATTTTGGTTATAAAGAAACTGGAGACTGTCCAGAGCGTACATTCCTACCCTTCAGTTTCCATTTAATCAGAAAAAATTCAGTCTGTTATTATTTTTCTTTTAAACCGAGTAGTATACACATTTATGGAACTACAAGTCGTCAAGTGAAATAAACGAACTCTTAGGAAGAAGTTATCTACTTAACGGCAAAAGTATTATGAAAGCTCAGACTGATCGGTGTAAAACAGCTCGTTCACATAGCAGCTGGACTAAGTATACCTTATGATTAGGAAATGTCGTGCATAGACTACGAGAAGGGTGGCGGTGATTGGAAGCATTCAATAACCTTTCAATCTATTATTGGTGTATTTCAGAGTAATAAACGCAACTAGATAATAAAGATAATGAGGAAAGCAAGACAATACAGTATTATATTATATTGAGAGTTAGCTCGACGATAATATCCCTTTATAATATGAAGCTATTGATACTGAGTTATAGTGTTACATTTCAATATACAATGAAAATTTTTCCCAGCCACGCTAAGAATAAAAATCAGAAAATGTCTGTTGATAAAATAGAGTGAAATGTTCTTCACTTAACAACTTGAGGAACAAAACCTATACACAGAAAAGTTGGTTTCAGTATAGAGAAGTTGATTAAATATACAAAAACAAAAGAAAATAAAATATTTACAAGTATAAAAGTATATAAATTAATAAAATACATTTTGATAAGATAAAGAATCAATTCACAATAATATTATGTTTCTTGAGATGTCTCTTGATAAATTAATGATTTGACGTCAGATGTACATATGTGTTATCACTTTTTAGTTTTCATTATTAACTTAAAACATGAATTGGTGCAGTCTGTACAAAGTTATAAAATAGTTGGACACAAAAAATACATTTAAATATATTCATCAACTAACTGAATGATTTAATGTAGTCTCTGATGATTGACGCCTCAATTGCGGATGTTTTACAAAGTAGTGGACAACAGCAGTTGTTGGTTTTGTTAGCTCCACTTTATTAGGCGTTTTTATCACATCAGTAACGAATTGATTTGATTTAATTGATGTATTTAATTTTTCTGTTCTATGTCTTAACGAAAGATTCCTTTTGTAAACTAACAAAGATGGTGAACTGTTAGTATTTCGCGATAGGGAAGTAGTGGCAGCAACGGGAAAAGTGGTTTTGTGCTCCACATGAATATTACAATCACTGTCGTGTTCCTCACTGTCGTAATTGTCATCGTCATCATATTCTTCTTCATCAGAACTGACATCTCGGTCATGGTTACTGACAAATGAACATGATGGTAAAGATTCTAGTGGGAATAAACTATTTGGTTTATCAAGTGCCCCAATGTTTTGACATCCGGATACCTCGGTTACATTTACTTTGGGTATTGAACTAGGACTCCCCTCACAATGCACATCACTTACTTTCTGCAAGTCTCTAGATTTTGTAGACGATGGAGACAATAAGTAGGGATGAGATAAAGATGTCGCCCAATGGACAAGTGCACGCTTCGTTGGTGAAATGGCTTTCTGATCATCTGTTGGTAAATCTAATGTTTTCGGAAGTGACTGATTAGAATTATTCATATGCAAATGATTGTTTTTTCTTTCGATACAATAGGGACATGTAAAATACAAAGTAATCTGGAAAAACAAGCAAGAAAAGAATTGTCTTCATTCGTTCATTTAAATTATTAGGTCACATAGTAAATATATTGGATTTGCATACATGTTTGATTATCGTAATAAATTCTTAGCACGGAGAAGCAGAAATTTCCATAAAATTCGTGAAAATGATACTACGGTGGCTAACCGCCATTTATCCTCCACAAGCGTTTTCAATTAATTTTATCAATATAAAAATTGCTTTTTGTTCGCTTAATATACCTGATGCATGGATTCTATACCAATGCATTTTTCTAAAAGACAGATCAAGAGGAAAATACACCAACAATCGTTATGATTCGACTTGATTTATTCAGTAATTAGTTAATGATACGTCGTAAGCTTCTGATAAAATCACCTCAGTTGATGTGAATAATATATTTAACTAAAACAAATCTTGATTGAGATCATGAACTAATTGATGTTAGGCCACCATTGAAAAACTGGAAGTATTGGATGGCCATTTCGTCTAAAGTAAGAAATTTTGTTAAAACAACGAATGTTGGGTAATAAATATCTCGAAAGTTTTAACGGACAGATATATTGTTTCTAAAGTTAGAATTAAGAGATGCAAGCAACTATTTTAACTAAAGGCTACAATACTAAATATTAAACAAATTCCTATCTGTCCTGTCAGATGCAACAGTTTCTAGAAACTTTAACTTAATTCACTCTTATTTCACAAAGATGATTGTCAAGGTGAATATCCTATGAAAAAAATTAATTTCAGTGGTAATCATAACTAGAGCTATCGAGTGAAGATAAAAACACCTAGTTAGTATTAAGTCAGCCACTAATTATTGATGATTAATCAATTTTAATCTGGATGATAACAAGTCAAACGGTTAAATCAACAGATAAAAGTAATCTTATGAGTTGAACAGTCTACAAAACAGTAAACAGAAGGGTAATGACATCAGCCAACCTCCTACAATCACTTACAACCACAGATTAAAATACTGCTTAATCTGGTTAAATAACTTTTGTGAACTAGTCTATTCACAACATTGGATCTATCGATCTATACAAATCAGTCAACATGATATTTCTCACTATGTAGTGACCGATTTATACAGTTTATTCAGTGTTCTATTCTTATTTCTAGTCTATTAACTCAAAAATAACCTGGAACTGCAGAATCGATCATAAGTTTAGATAATGAGTTCTCTTTATATTTTAAACATCGTTTGCTAGAAACAGAAAACGATTCTAAAACTTAGATTCATAACTGAGAGAATAGAAGGTAGAGCGGTAACTTGGTGGCTTAGGTATTCGATTTTCACATTATGGATTTACCTTAGTGTTGTTAAACTACAAATTCGACGATCTACACAAGCTCTCTGGATCACTAGAAATAACGTTATCCCTATACTATTTATCGTTAAGAATAATAAAATGATTTTTTTTTAAAAGGAAACTTATCAAGTGCAGATTCGTATATTCGGCATTGGTTCACACTATAAGCTAGAGGAACAATGATACTAACCAGGCAGAAATAAGTAAAAATATAGAACGTGATGTATGAAATAGAAACTCTGGGATCTATTGAAAACGTACCCTGTTGGTTAAGAATGAACCAGAGCTTGAAGTATTGAGAACACTGTGAACCCATGTGAATGTATTGGATTTTACTTACTAAAAAAGTGCACAATTATTGCCAAAGCATCCATCACTTCGTACAAACACTACACAAGGTCTCTAAACAGAATTACATGATACGGGGTTTGAACCTGCGACCCAGTTGGCTGGAAGGTAAACACTTTTACCACAAAATCAACGTCACACTTCTTCTCATTAATCAAGTCAATAAAGTATAGAATCAAAAGACTTACATTACATTCTGATGTCAAGAATTTCGACTTCCCTTTATAAGCTTTATCTAATTCAGAAAGCGGTAATTTTAGAAATGAATGGCCAAGTAACGGTCCACGAGATGATGATGCTATTGTTGATGGTGGAAATGCACATGTACAATGGTCATTGTTAAAACGTTCCTAAAATAAAGGCAGAGAAAAGTTCTACTTTAAATTTGAAACGAATTGTATAATGGTTTTCTCGTCTAAAATCCAGCACTAGTCTATCAGACGCCTGTAAAATCAGCAATTAATTTCATAAGTTTGATAAAAACATGAATTCATACAACCTGATAAGCTTCCAGTGTTATACACGTTGCAGAAAGTATAGATTTTTTTAACTATTAATCTAGAGGTTCTCACCAAATAAGTCTATATCTCTCCATACAACTGAAGTCAAAAAGTTATTCGACAGTGTTTTCTAAACTAAATCTACTTCAGCCAGTAGTAATTAATATACTGGGTATAACTCAAGAATGGTAAAACATATAATAATATTTTATGGGTTAAAATAAAGTTTACAATAAGAGGAATATGAATATGCATAGTCTAGTTACTTAATAATTATACAATAGAAATATACGTTTAGTATTGGTCCATAAATGGATCCCAAAAGTTACCATTCATTATTCTTGTCAGAACATAGCAGTATACTAATATGGGATTTTGAAGGTGAAGTATGTTGGGATGAGCACGAGCCTACTGGAGATGGATTTATGTTCCGATGTTGTTTGCTGGTCTACAAAATCTATTCGGACTAGTTCATTTTTTATTCGTTATAATTAATTTAGAAATTATATTCATGATTACTGATTGGGTGATTAGACCACAAGTTACAGTATCTGAAGGGTTGTAGCAGTTTCTAAAACAGCAGTTATAAAATGTTATCAACGTTATAGGGGAATCAACTCAGAAAGACCACTACGAAGCTATGTGGAGTCGTATTACGTATTTCTTAAGACCGTTCAAGGATCTCGAAGACAGGCTACTATAAATCCATCCTTCAAACAAGCTTATCAATAATATAAAATTGATATATCTTAAGTAAAGTTTCTCTTTTTGAATGTAGCATTGATGGAAAGTTAAAGTCAGTCGGTGTTGATCCATGATACGAGGATATATATATATATATATATATATATATATACCATTGTTACGAAGAGTCTTTTTAAACAACATTAAAATGGATAATTAATGGGAAATGTTGATAATTACTAGATGCATGAAATCCAAATGATACAAAAAATCTACCTTAGAACTGGATACACAATTAGATGACCCTTCTTCATGTACTACGAAGTATGTGTTGAACCATAGTTGACATATTTTCTACGAATTATGAAAAATAGTAATAAATAATGCACAATTACGAAGCATCAGTTGGTACATATGCATAGCACAGTGTTAAAACATACTAAATAGACATCAAAATATTTATACCTAAAACACATTGAATACGATATATATAATGTTATAGAGTACAGACTATGACAATGTTATTCTACGCAGAAGAAAGACATACTCAGTTAAATCACTCAACTCAAATTAAAATATTGCTGAGATATTAGACGACTGCGTGAATCATAGTTGTAATTCTTGCAGACTAGTGCTTTTATTCAATTTGTATAGAAGATTTATAGAGACTTTTACATTATGTAGTTCGCGTCACAGACTGACTTCAGTTAGACAACCAGGAAACAATAGACCGCTGTTTTGTCCTAGTATGGGACTTTCCAGTAGTGCAGATTTACGACCAGGCCAGCGATCATACGCCAAACCTTCAGGTCCTGCAGAGAGGGGTCCAACTTTAGACCATTGAATTCATAATCAATCGTTTATATTTCTAAACTCATTCAATTTTAATCTACTGAAATAAAATTTAATTACAGTGTATTTTTATTGCATTATCGGTACTTCCTCTATTTAGTATACTTCCGTTAGTAGTACCACATAAGAAATACGTGTGATCATCATTATAAAAATAATTTTGTGTCTAAAACACCGATAATCCAACGGATAAACATATTTTCTGTTATATTCCAATGAGTAGAAAAATTGTATTTTTGACGTTTCGTGACTCCATGTAAGCCACTTCTTCAAAGTGAATAAGTGTCCAAA